GAGAAAAAGTTCGTAATAAACTTTAAATTTTTTTTTTAAAATATTGGAAAAATGTTTTTGGAAAATTAATTATACTGAAAAATTCTTGTTCGGAATTTGAAAGTATTTTGTTATAATTTAATTTATTAGAGAGCGTCATAATATTATAAAAGATGAGTAATTCAGTTTTTGTAAAAAATTTTAAAAGTTGAAGGTTTGTTTTTCGAGAAATACAAAAAGTTTTCATTCAAGAGTGTTAATTTCTTTGATAGTTCTAATGATTTTTGGAAAAGAAAGAGAGCAAAAGATAGAGAGATGAAGAGTGATTTTAGGCGGTAATAAACGACTATAAATTTCATTTTTGTGTTGTCAGTTTGATTGCAATCTAAACTTTGAAGTTTAAGGGCCCAAAAATGTCCATGCAGATTTTTCTCAAAAAAAATCATTAAAGTCAACATTTTAATATCAAATTTTTTAATAAGCTGAACGTGTTACTATTGATACTGAATAGAAACTTATTGTTAATAGAAACTCTAAAAAATTACAAAAAAAAAATATTACTCTTCAGGAAAATTAATCAAAAGTATTACGAAAATTGCAATTTTCAAAACTTATACAAAATCTTTTAATAAATTTCGAATTTATTTTGAATTCTGCATTAATTTTTAATAACATAAACTGTAAGTGAAAGTAAAAACTGTCCTCAATATTTTTTTCCATTTAAAGTTTTTCTATAATTATACCCGTACGAACGTATGTTCGAAGGGTATACTAAATTTGCCTTACCGTTTGTAACGCTAAGAAATAACGGTGTTAGATATAGACTCAAGTGTATGTTTTTGATCAGCGTCAAATTCTGAGATGATTTAGCTTTGTCTGTCCGTCCGTCCGTCCGTCCGTCCGTCCGTCCGTCCGTCCGTCCGAACGATAACTCAAAAACTAATTGAGCTAAGTTCACCAAATTTTCACAAATGATTTATTGTAGTAAGTGCCAGAACCCTATTTAAATTGGACATGATCGGGGTACCGGTTCGGGTAGCTGCCATACAACTTCAAAATTTATTTGGCTATATCTCAGAAACTATAAAAGTTATGGTATTGAAATTTCACACAAACGAATATATTAGTAGGGCCAATATGCCCCATAAAAGTCGTTGAAATTACTTGGCTCCTTCTGGTACCTGCCATACAACTTCAAAAATTATTTGGCTATATTTCAGAAACTATTAAAGCTATGGTATTGAAATTTCACTTAAACGAATATATCAGTAGGGCCAATGTGTCACATAAAAGTCGTTGAAATTACTTGGCTCCTTCTGGTACCTGCCATACAACTTCAAAAGTTATTTGGCTATATCTCAGAAACTATAAAAGCTGTGATATTGAGATTTCACACAAGTGAATATATTAGTAGGGCCGATGTGTCTGGTAAAAGTCGTTGAAATTACTTGGCTCCTTCTGGTACCTGCCATACAACTTCAAAAGTTATTTGACTATATTTCAGAAACTATTAAAGCTATGGTATTGAAATTTCACACAAACGAATATATTAGTAGGGCAAATGTGGCTCATAAAAGTCGTTGAAATTACTTGGTTCCTTCTGGTACCTGCCATACAACTTCAAAAGTTATTTGACCATATCTCAGAAACTATAAAAGCTGTGATATAGAGATTTCACACAAGTGAGTATATTAGTAGGGCCGATGTGCTTGATAAAATTCGCTAAAATTTCTTGGCTCTTTCTGGTAGCTGCCATACAACATCAATAGTAGTTTGGCACAACCAGTATTTTGAATAACACATAGTACTGAAATTTTGCATAAATTAATATGATAATACGGCAACTTAAAGTCATAGTCTGCCCCATAGTTAGTTATGGCACATTAGTTATTCGCACATAGGATAACAAATTCGTACGGGTATCACAGAGTTGACAAGGTCAACTCTATTTTTTTTCTCGTTTTTTTTTATTTTTCTAACATAATCCAGTTGTTATTTTCTAAAATTAAGTTATTTTATCCTACTTACTCCCACATGTTATCTATGTGTGTTTAAGTTTAAGAGTTTTAAAAACAAAAATTTTTTTCTCTTTTTTTTTCTTATTTTCTTTTTTAATTTAGTTTCATTAACTTTTACTAAACTTTGTTATCCTCAATTATAAATGAAACAAGGCAAACGTTTACTTTAAAGTCCTTGAAATGCCTAGTAACCTAAAAAAAAAAGAAAAAAAAAAGCATAAAAAAAAATAACGTAATTTTCTTTTTTTTTTCGTTTTATGTCTTTGGTTTTCCTATTTTTCCGGGAAAACAAAAAAAATTTACAAAAACAATGAAAGACAATAAAAAGCACTCTTGCAAATGTTAAAAAAACAAACCGAACGAAGAACATAACTGCAGCATGATGCTATGAAAAATTTATAAAACTTATAACGGGAACATTTCCCACATGGTCATCGTAGTCGTTACATTAATAATGTTAAAGCAAGTTGAAAAGAAAAATAATTTTATTTCTTTTTTTTGCATTTTTTTAGACTTCCTTACATTCATATTGTCCTTTTGTTTTAATTTTTTTTTATCTACGTACTCGTATATAATTTTGTTTATTTCTGAAATTTTATCTTAAATATTATTAACAAAATAAAATTTAAAAACGGTAATGAAACAAAAATGCAAACCTCAGTTCCCTACCCAAAGCTTCTGTACTTAAAATATTTTGTGGCTGAAAAATGAATAAAGTAAACAAGATTGAGTGCAATAAATTTTGAGTACTTATGTATGCATTTTATTATTGCATTCGATTATTAATTTTGGTTAAAGATTTGTGCTTTTGGATTTTGTGAAAATTGATTAATAGAAAAGTAGACAGTCATACGTTTGAGGAAAAGGCAACTGGCATCCATGACACATAATTACTTTATCACGCCTGAAATATGAAATTTGAAGCCACACTAATTATTTCGAATATTTTCGACCCCGAATCTTATTTTAACTCACAAAGTTAATCTTAGTTATTACCATCTAAGTTAACTGTTAGAATAATGTAGATCATATTATTTGTATTCTGTTGTTTGCTATGATAACAAAAGCCAATATAATATACATGCCCATATTCTGATTCAACATTTAGTCCTTAAAAACGATTATAATATGATTTATACCAATTATCTTGTTCTTTTCCATTCATCTAAAAGAAGAAGAAAATTTAACAAATATAACCAACTGAAAAACAAATTTTTTATCATGAATAAATGTAAAAAATTTCAATAATACCCGAAATAATGAAAGCACAACGGCCACAACAACACTAAAAATAATTTCAAATATACAACAAATTCTCAATGGTATTGTTATTTTTGTTGTTGTCATCATGATATTCGTCGGCTATATACCACATACAAAAATATACATTTTTGAAATACATATACCGAGAGGAAAGTACAAATCATATACACACCGACACCATTTATGTTACTTTATAATATATACATGTATATTGTATGACTCCTCTACTAACAGCGACACACCAAAGTTATACAACAAATAAACAGAATTTAGGGACTACAATATAAGAATTGTAATAATAATTGAGAAAATTTTATGCTTTCAAGATTATAATTTGTGAATTTTATGACTTTTTTGTTTCAAGTGTAAAAAAAAAAACACAAGTAAAATTGTTGGTGGGAAAAGTGGTATATTCATATAGGAACAAGTAAAAATACATATGAAACCAAAAAAAATTTACCGTGTTATAATTTGTGACCGGAAAGAAGGAAAATATTATATGAAAACAAAAAGGATGGCGAATAATTTGCGAAAAAAAAGGATATTTTTCATTTAATACAATGTTCGTTTTTGTCTAAAGGTGGGTATGCCATAAAAACTTGTATGATATGCAATATGCATGTATTATACATGTATGATAAAGCACTAAATGGGTATGATGAGGTAATGGAGTGCATGTACTCAATTTTTTTGTTTTTTAAATAGAAAACTTTAAAAAGTTCAACGTGTATGAAGAGTTCAAGTAACACTTTAATAGTAAGTATAACAATGTTGTGTAGCTGTCTATAAGTTCAGTGGATTTAAGCAATGAAAACTATTATTTTTTTTTTGCTTGCCATTTATTTTTCTATATTTTTTCACTTAAATTCATTACTTGTACCCTTTTTGTTTAAATGCATGACCTTTTCATTAAAATGAGGGAAAATTTTTATACTGCTATACACTGTAGAATTGTGGGTTACAATTGTGTTCATATATTGTTGGGGAGTTGTGGTGTTATTAACAATGCACTTAAATTTTCTGCATATGACATATTTTTTTGTTCAGAACTTGAACATTTGCCGTTATTGTTCATTTCTTTTTTTTGGAAGCATTTACGTTTATAGTTTTTATTCATTGTTATTTTCGGTCGGAAATTGTTTATTTTTCTTTATTTCTTACTTGCTTCCGTCTACGTAATTGTTATTACATAGGTATCTATATGCTGGAAATGATGGTCAGTTTAAAAAAAAAAAAACATGAATGTCCCTGGAACAATTGTTTTGTACTTTTTCAAAATAAAAAAATATAAGCAAATTTTTCGTAAAGTTCCTTTAAACTGTTATAAATTTGTTGAAAAATATTTGAATTTTGTAATCCAAATTTAAAATGTTCTTGTTATTAAAGCGAAAACAATCTTTTAACTGGATTAAGGGAATGGAGTCACAGAGAACGTTCAATATCAATGAAATACAAATACTTTGAATTATTTTGGAAATTATTTAATATGCGCATATTTAATTTTTAATATTTAAATGCTTAAAGTAAAATGTATTATAATATAATGCAAAATTATTAAATAGTTTGTTTTAACTTAAATTTTAAAATGACAATAAATCTAATTGCTACAGATACCTATATCTATATTATAATGACAAAACATTTTTATAATTTTAATACTCTAATATAGAGAATTAAATTTAAAATGATTCTTTTTTCTTGATTTGAAATGAAAACAAAAATGAGGAAAACTTTTTAATTCTACCATCCCTTTTGGCCTGTAATTGGAGCCCATCCACCATTTCCACTACCACTACTATGAATAGTATTACTATAACTTCCACTACTGATTGCATTACTGTATGCACCGGGAACACCAGCAACACCACCCGCACCACCACCGCCACCGTATGACGAGCTTTCAATAATTTTGTATACTGTAACTGGTGCATTTGAACCAGCACTATGTGTTGAACCAGTATAACCACCAGCATAAGAACCACCATGGGAGCCAACATATTCATGAATAACTCTAATAACTGTAACATCATCATTTGAAATTCCTCCACTTAATCCACCTTGAATTTCTTTAAAACCACCTCCAAATCCACCAGTTGGATCACCATAAATATTAACAATAGTACCATGTCCATCACCAGAAATACCAGCTCCACCTGCTGCACTATAACCACCACCACTAATAGCTCCGCCTGTACCATGTCCAGATCCACCAGCAATACCACCACTTTTAGGTATACGTTTTCGTAAAGTTCCACGTTCAATAACTTTACCTGGACCTAATTGATCTATAATGCTTATGTAATTATCTTCGGCACCACCACCAATTCCACCTAAACCTTTTCCACTACCAATTCCGGGACCGCTACCTAGTCCACTGCCACCCAATAGACCACCACCAGCACTTCCCAAGAGACTATTTAAACCAGCACCACCTAAAAGTCTACCAAATGTAGCAGTGGAAACCCCAATAAATGGGATAAGATAAATTAAAATCTGTAAGAAAAGGAAAAATTTAGATTATAATAGGAATTTAAAGTTAGTATTGTAGAGTAAGTGAGAATTTAACGAAAAATTTCAGATTGAGTTTAAGAAGGCATAGGGGCATTAGTATAAAACTTTGCGTTACGTATATGTGAATATCAATTTAAGCCCTTGAAATCACTTAATCTGAATTAACATTATGGCTTACTGTTTATGGTAAAATACATTTTATATTTTATTTTAATCAGGGGTACGATTAATTAGAGCTTTTTCTAGTTCTATAAAAGCAATTATCTTATTAATTAATGCATATTTTCAGGATATATTTTAGGTTTTGTTCACAAATATCTGCAACTTTGATTTTTAAAAAAAAAATATTACTTTTCGTTAACAAGCTTAACGACAAAAGAATTCAAAAGGTCGAAATTATTCATAGTTGAAATATTCCAATAATTTTCAAAGTGTTGACGTTATGAATTCTAAAATCTTATTATAGAATTGCATGGTTTAGTCTCATTCTTCTTAAATTTTTGTTTTTCTATTCATTCACATATAATCTCACTTTCGTTAAATTTTCGTTATATAACACAAAAAAAGTCCTTTTATAGTTATGTAATTTACAAACTTGACACAAATTATAATTTTTTTTAATTTCTTTTTTTTTTGTACCTTCATTTTCACTTTCTTTCAAAAAATGTTGAGAAAAAATAAAAAAAAAATTGACGAAACGAAAACCAAGCAAATACGATAAAATTAAATTTTAGATAAAAAAAAATATTAATATTAGTTAAAAAAAAATCTACACAATTTAAAGATCCAATAAAAACTGATAACCAATTCAATCGAAAGTATCTTTTTATACCAGAAATGCTTTCCTCTACAAATTTGGTATTTTTTTTTTTTTCAAAGACGAAGAAATTTAAAGTTTTTTTCTCATATAACGGTTAATAATATCGTTATGTCATTTCTTTTCTGTATTGTTTGTCTTATGTTTTTCTTATTATTATTTTGTTGATTTTAGATAATTCGTCGAATAAATGTATCTTTACAATTAAGATATTTCAAAGACATTCATTTTTTTGGCTTTTGTTTTTTTTTTTGTTGTTTTTTGTTAATCTTGTATATTATTATTAATAATATATTATAAAGAGAGAAAAAAAAACTGAAGAAGTTTAAATTTAACAAATGTTAAACTCAAAGTGGACTTTATTGGAGTTATTGAATTGATGTAGTAAAAATACTCTATAGAGAGTTGAACATACATAAAAATATCTTGTTAGTTGAAGAATCACACTTACATAAAATACAAAATTAGCAATTGATGGCTAGATTTCATAGCTGATCTTAATCTAAAATGTGTTTCTCCTTACATTGAAATTTTGAAAGGGTTAACTGTCAAACGAACGCTCACCGAGCATTCATTTTTTGACATCTATTATCGGTATGCAGTCAAAAAAAAATAGTTATTTATTCGGATTTCATTAACTAGATCATTACCCTCCCGGAAAACGCACGGTTAACCATAAATGCAGTTCAGAACTTTAGTAAAGCCGCATTGTAGTGAATGGTTTTTGTCTGCAGACATGGGTGATGTAGATCTAGTGAATACACGGTTCAATATAAAAAAGACTCCGCGTTCTTTAAGATGTAACCATGGATACATAAAAAATTGGCAATGACTTCATTTCGGAAAGTGAAAACTAAATTTACAACTATAAATCACAAAAATTACATTCTAAATTCAAGGTAAACGGTAACACTTATTTTGGCGCTTTTTTCAATTTTGCATTTTTTTTTTTGTTTGTTTTTATTATTATAGAAGTGGAAAAGGAAAGGAAATTTTTTGAAAAATTTTCAATTGCTACTTCAATTTTATTATAAATTTTACGAACTTACACTTGATTCAATGGCTATGCATCAAGGTAAGTTACATGTGTTAGAAAATAAATTATGTTAGTAGAAAAAGAAGAAGAAATTCAATGTTTACGATGATGATTGAGCGCTTTTTCTTCAAGATTATGTAGCAAATATACATAATATGTATATATATAATTTATAGAGTGTACATACACACGTGTGTGAAGAGAATATTGTATTGTATAGATGAGATATTTATTGACCTAAAGGGCATCATTATCAAAATTTAAAACGATACACGAGTAAAATTTAATATATATGTAATAGATATATAAAATATATTTGTAAATATATCAAAATTATTGTAATGATAACGTTTGTTTTTGGTTTTTTTGTATTTTTTAAATTTATATCTTTAATAGTTGTAATAGTTTTGAATTCGAATATTGTCTGAAATGAAATAGTATGTGTAATAATAACATGGGAGTTTGTATGTAAGTAGTGTTACTAATAAAATATTATGTGCTAGTGAAACTAATAAGACTTACAATATTCGCAGGTTTACAACTCTACAAGACAGCACCCAAACGGTCTTCTCCTAAATTATATAGTGTAAATTTTTCAGTTTTATCTTTTCAATTTGGGGACTAGAAAAATGGTTTTGTAATTTTCAAATATCTTATTTTTCTAATGATTTTTTTAAAATTGTTGACATCCGTCAGAGCATCGGCATAGAACTGTCATAGTTTCTCTTTGTCGCATTTTGTCATTTGCTAATTGTTTTAATTATGCCAAAGTCTTGTCATCCTCCAAAATAACTTTCTGTACTATTCTGTGTTAAGTCTTGTTGATTTATGGGTAATTGTTTTTTTTGCGTAATATTTGATGCGAAATTGCAGTTCCGCCTAATAACAAGCATAGTCATCACATTCTTTTTGTTTGCATCAAAGTATTCATTTGCAAATGTTCACAATTTCATGATGGAACTGTGTTCAGAAGAATTTGTACACCTATCCGGGACATAAACATATGAATATCTGAATGTTGTTTATGATAACTTGGCACGAGTTAAAAATTTTATTTTTTGTTTCGGCTAAAAACGCATTCTATTCAATTCGTATCTTTCGTTTCTTCATTTATAGTAATAATTATAGAATCGCTCTAGGCAATTGAATTTAATAAAATCATCCATCATTGTACCATTTATTAAATTCAGAATTCGTTTTTATTTTTGCTGCTTATCATTCGATACAAAGTTTTTATTGTTGTTTAAGTTTTTGCTAAACTCATTTAAATTTAAGAACATCCAATTCGGCTTGCATATCACCATCTAAAGTAGCTTGTATCCATCTTATACCACCTAAAATATCTGCTTGTATGTCATCTAAGGTAGAACAATGTCATGTAATTCAGTTCTTTTGGACGAACATCGTAATCTCTTGCAGGGTGTGTTTATAATTTTTTTTATTTTTATTTTTAAAAATTGCGTTGCCTGTTAAATTAGGGAGAATAGAGAGAGAGTCTTGGCAAACATAGGAAATAATGCGTGCAATACTCTCTATTTCTCTCTCTCGCTGTCGATACTTTGATTGGTCATAAAGCATAACTTTGAATTTCATTATGATTTTGCGAAAAACTTTTTTTAACAAATTTTTCAACATTAACATTAAAACTTTGTAATAAATAATTTATAATAATTATATTAAAATTAATGAAGTTTTGATCTTCATTTTTCGACAAAAATTAAGAAAATTTTTATTTCTTCTCTTTCTTTCAATTACGTCATCATTTTATATTTCCTAAACCAAGATATTTTAATAAAAATAAAAGAAACTGATAACTAAATTATAAAAGCATAACAATTCAAATTATTTTTTATTATTGCAATTTCATTCAAATCACCTACAACATATGGGCAGTTCAATATTTTTCTATGGGTACACAAAACTCCAATATACACATACACATTTATATTATATATGTATATGATGTTCCCATTTGAAAAGAAAGAAATTAAATTACGATTTTTCGCTGTTTGATAACATCGAAGAGGAGAAAATTTTTATTTGAAAATTTAAAGTTGAAATGGTGTAATTTGCTGCTGTTATTAGGGATGCTAGTGGTGCTTCTTCTTTATGGATGTACTAAACGTTTTGTTAATGAATTTTTAATCTGTCAATATTTGATAAATTTGTATTGTACGGTTGTAATGCAAAAACGTGCAATAAAAATTTAAAAATTAATTTTTTTTTTCTAATTATACAATTGAACATTTACATATGTATGTACAAAAACAAGTATTTGCAGTATGATACAATTAAAATGTTAAAACTATTAATCATTATTTCTATAGTTAATATTGTAATTCTTATATGTATTTTATAATTTCGTATAAATTTATAATGAAAAATTTGTAAAAAATATTTATTTTCGATATTGAAGATAATCAGCGGGGGCAAAACTGTATATAGCGAATATTTTTTTTTAAAAGAAAATAATGAAATTTGTAAAACTATTACAGAGAACCAATTGGATATTCAAAGGTTATTAGGTATCTGCTCGAAGATTTATTTGTATGAAATATCACTGTAAGAGAGTATTTAAAATTAAGTAAGAAACAAAGATTTTAAAATGGTATTCCATCATTTGGATTTTTAATTTAAGATCAATATTCTGTTAACTACCTAAGAGTTATTAGAAATATTATTTTTAAATACATTCATTCAAACACTTTTATGTTGGAAGAAGTTTTAAGCCTATTTACTTGTACTTTATACATTTTTAATCATATATTTCAATCATTCATTGCAGCATCATGAACTTCAATCAATATTATAAGAGGATTACGTTACTTTGGTGGCCTATATAGTTATAAACTGATAATTCATTTACACTGTTTCATTTCTCAACAGATGAATTGCGTTACTAATTGCCAAAATTTTCAATATGTAGATACAATAAACGTGGATAAATCAACTATGATTCCCAATTAATACTTCAATTTCATATTTTCATATTTGCTTGTTATATGCTGATTTTAAGCTGCTTCATAGAAAATAACTGTGCAAATCTAAGAGCTATATAGAAATTTTGTGTTTCTGACGATTAGGACTTTGAAATATAAAGAAGAAGACCACAACAATCAATATACGATTACAAACAATTTCAATAAAAAATAAAACCCAAAAAACCAATAATAATTGACTTCAAAGCAACTTTTTCTAATTTTTGGGTATATTTTTGCCACCTTTTGGTTGTTTTATTGGTTTTGTTTTTGTTATTTTTTATTTATTTTTAATGTTACACCTTCTTATATTTTCATTGTTATTATTATTGTTTTGTTGGTGTTCTCAAAAAATTAATAATAGCTTTAAAAAAAAATTATTATGAAAATTACCAAATTGAAGATTTATTATTTCATGTTTTTTTGTAATTTCGAATTATTATGTATAGGTAAAATCAATATGATGAATTAATGATTGAATTATTATTATTATTGGCTATTCGTAATGATTTCGAACACAATATTCAATATAAATTTCTTTATTTTCTATATTGCATTACCTATGTGTATATACGGTATATAATAGTGTTATGATGACATTAATAGTTAAGAGTAATGATGGACTTAAGATTATTAGATAATCTGATTGCGGGAGAGCCTATTTTTCAAAATAAAAGGTAAAATTAGAAAAAAATAATTAAAAAATTTTTATTATGAAATTTTCGAAAAATTTTATTATTTAATATTTTTGTTGTAAGGTTGTACAGTTAAATAATGATGGTATGTTAAAGTGTTATTTATCAAAATGAAAATTATATATTGTACGTTATGCCATATATATATATATGTATGTTATAATAGGTGTGAATCTTAGCTTGCTCGTATAATATAGAAGCGTGTATTATACATTATTACCTATAAAATTTATAAATTTAATAAATGATTTTAAAATTAATGATTATAAAATTAAGATTTAATTAATTATTATATTTTTTTTTAAAATTAATCACCCAAAAATCACGATTTAAGGTAAAATATGACGTAAAAATGAAGTCTACATTATAAATGTAATATTGACGTGTTGGACTTTACACTTATTATGTCTCATCAAATTTGTCTGGTGAAAGAATGTTGACTTTCTATATTAATATATGGGTCGACTATATCGAAACTATAGGATGTTACTGTTACTGATAAATGTAGACTTTGACCTGTTCTATTTTGTTCAGGGTATTTTTACGATAATATTTATAAAATCAATTTTCTAAATATTTTTCGTAAAAAAATATATTAAACAATATTATTAATTTTAAGATTTGCGATAGATTGACAAATTACAATTTTAAATTCATGTGATTCCAAAATCTAAATAGATTATAACTAATTTAGATATTCATAAGAAAGTCCTTTTTCTGATGTTTCCAAATTATATTTAATAATGTGGCTGTTTTACACGGGCACGGAGTTATACTTAAAATTTTTAGATTGACTTTAAGCCACTGTAACTTTGAATCTGTTGAACTGTGAACATGATCTTCATACAAAAGTTTTGTCTACTCATAAGGGCTTATACAATGGTATATAGAAGTGCATTTGGATTGGAGACACCCTGTATATGTAAAATTTAAATCAAATTTAATAATTATAAAACGTTTCGATACTACCGTAGTAAAATATATTTACGATAGAAAAATGCTGTCTTTATTTAAAATTAATTAAATACTAGGTTATCTTCGGACCGCAGCTGTAACCAAAGTTTTATTTTTAATATTATGTCACTTATTAATTTGTATTTTACGGCAGATTAGTCATACCACACGCCTAGTTAATCAAATGTAACGAAAATGTAGTTCAACTTTATCATTATGAAATCACGTTGGAACCCTATATGATGAGTTTGCCTGCTCATGAAATTTTTTTCATCAGTCTTATACCGTTATAATACCAAATTCTTTTTAATTCTTAATAATTATAAAAGACCTAAAATATTGAAGCAATTCAATAAGGGAAATTCTCAAAGTTCAATATAACATAAAAGAACCGATTATATAAATTTATTAAACTCTTTTTTTATACCACACACATACTCTAGAAACACCCACATTGTACAAATAAATTTAAAATCGAGAAAAAAAATGAATTATCTGCCATTATAATGTCATGAAATTTTCTTATCTTCAAAATATTATGAAAATTTATTGATTTTAATTTTTTTATAATATTTTTTATGAAAAATTTATTAAATATAAAATTACGAGTATTATTATTTTTTCATTATCTCATTATTTTGAATTTTTATAATTTTTGATATAAAAATTAACATTTATTTGACATTAATGTGAAAATATTAAATGTGTATGTAATTATTGTTAAAATTTTATATCTCCAACTCATATATTAATAAAAGATGAAAATAATGTCAGAGCACGTAAAATTAATAAAAAAAAATTAAATAAAAATTTACTAATTTAATAATAATGATTGCCAACAACCTAATGAGCCCTACTGTAATTTTAATCGAAAAAAAGAAATTCATTGTTTAAAATGTTTAATCAATAATCAAAAAACCGGAATTAATACCGCCTTTTTAATTCACAAAAAAGAAAAATTTAAACTGGTTTTTCTTTATTTTTGTAACTAATATTTAATAAATTATAAGTATAATATTTATTTTATGCTTTTGTTCCAGTAAAATAGATTAAAAAGTATAGCATTAATAACAATCAATAGCGAGTGGTCGGTTTTAGAGCATAAAACGGGGAATAATAAACGTAGATATTCAACTATTATATTCATTATTTATAAACATGAAAAATGTGAGATAACAAAAGATTTTTATTACTTCAAAAGCAAATATAATACACACTTCATGCACATGGACACTTCTGTCGGACAATAGCACTTGTATAGTTGTAGGTTTATTGTAAAGTTGGGTATTAGTTTAGTTGCACAGTAAATTTTTATTAGTCGATTTATTGAACCGGGTAAGTATAGGTAGCTATAGATTATAATTTTTCTTGTCTTTATAACATTTTCATTACTCTTTTGGATTTTTATCATAAATAATAAATAAATTTACAATCAATATGAGAAACTTTGTAATTATAATGCGGCTTTTGTGTAATTTATGATTGGTTATTTAAATATAATACTTTACAATAAGTAGGTGCACTAAGAATATAAAAGATTGTTGCGAATAAACTATTAATTTTCCATTGTAATAATGTTGATTCCATTGATTTTAAAAAAAGAAAATGAGGTCACACCCCATAAATATTGCAAAGAAAATTCAATAGTAATACATTTTTCCTATAAAATGTGAGTTTATATAGAAGTTCTAGGAGTTTAAATTGTTTGTATTTCCTATATTAGAAAATAAC